TCAGCTTCAGTCGAGCGCCGCATTATTGTTAACTGAACTTCACAGCTGTTAAGACGGTTCCCTGGAAGTGCAAGCTGTAATGTATGTTCAATCCACTTTCCCCCTCACAGTTAATATTGATTACTGAACCGAGGAAGAGGCTCTTCCAGCTTGGTACTTCTTCGTAGTTTTTCCTCCCAACAAAAATGATGTTTGTTGTGCATAGTGATTTCGAAGAAATGTTCGCCTTCCTTAGGCTTTTTGCAAGACTCTACTTCATCTTCTGAACCTGTTTACCTTTTTTCATCCAACTCAGCTTAACCTTGAAAAGTATCCAGCCAGTATCTCCAATACTGGGTATACTGCGGTTAGGTGATGGTGCGTGAGAGAACTCTGAAGTATAAATGCTTTTTAGACTTTAGAGAAATCGCTCTCTAACTCAGCCTCGAATACCTTCTTTTCTATGATGATTCCATGTTTGCCCGAAACTGTAAGGAACGTTGTCCAGGAAACTGTCATTATCCTTTAGAGATATTCCCAGTTCCCACTATCGTTAGATATGTGGATGATTCGATCTGCCCGTTTTCATTTTACATCAGCTTGTGATGACTGTCCCAGACGGTGAGATTGGCATTCAAAAAAGAATGTTGAACAGCTTGACTCCTGCTTTCCATTTAGCGGGGAATTATATCTTAGGTGAACTGTAGAGCTTCTTCTTGATTAACAGATCGGAGCGTAGCTCACACAAGGGGAAGAACTACTCCTCAGTAATAACCGGACTGAAGCATTTCTGAGTTTCATCCGTCACTGGCTCCGTTTGAATCAAATGTTTAGTCTCCTAAGTTAGAAGTTCTTAACCGTAGCTTACATTGGAAAAATATCAAAAGGTGTTTTTGAATAACATGCTGATGATACGCTATTACTGAGTGAACGATTCCTTGAATAACGGTTCAAGCCACTCATTTATAGCATCTATTTGGATGTTAGCTTCGTGTGCCCCTAAACTCATTAATCCTACAATCCTTCGGAGACGTCGTTTTGCAGTTGTCTGCCAACAACTACGTATTAGAAACAAAAACTAACTCTCCAAGATAGCTACAGGTATACATGTATATAAATAAATAAATATATGTATGTATCCGAAAAATCTCGAAAATTACAACAGGTAACTCACCTTGCATATACGACAGAAGACCTGTTTACCTCCATTCAATCTCCTATTCAAACCTTTCGCAGTGAATAGTTGCGGATGACCTGACCCCGACTGGGAGCTGGAGGCAACAGCAACAGAAGTCCACACAGGTCGATGAAGGAGGCAGTCCATTTGTTATAATAGGGCATTTATTATGGCTTTCATTGAACTACTCGTCCCTTAAAGCTCATTAAATCCAGACTGATCCCGTTTAAGGGTGGAATCATTAATAGCAGCCTGCCGCTGGAATTTTTAATACATACACGCTGAACCAACAGCAACTCAACCTTTTCGAACTCGTTTCGTTTTTCATAGGGATGGTTGTACTTCATCATTTGTTATTTCTTACACATATGATACCGATGGTGGCATAGATTTTTACTAACAGGAACCTGTTCTTCTGATAAAAATCCGAACTAGACACTATCAACAAGTGTTCTTTTCAGCCTTCATTTACCTGTGTAGCAAAATTTACAATGTCACTGCATTGATTTAAACTACCAAACAGTTTACTTTTTCAGCAGTTTTTTTTTCTGAACACTAGTTTCTCAGCTTTGGCATGATGCCCCGCAATCTCTCTCATGCACTACTCTAGTATTACCTCGATACAATTCCAGAATTTTCATACTCTTTTGTTTATCCTTTGATGGTAAATTTTCATTGTAAGATAAAAGAATAAAGTCTTTCAGCGTTAAACACTACCGTCTGAGGGGTGCCCCCACGCATTCGACTTCTATTCAGAATCGTAGTGGCATATTGAAAGCGTATTTGACGATAGAGATCTGATGATCTACATCAAATTGATATAGTGTCGAGTGATGCATCATCACAAGCCCGAAGATCCCGTTCTGATACCCCCAAGCCACTCAAACCCCATCCCTCTGAGTCGGTTTATTGTTTCACCATATTTGTTTGGGTAAAGAGCTCTGCCTTTGCGTAGGGTGGTCACCGCAGGTCGCTGTATAGGCCCTGCATGCAGGCCCAAAAGCCATTAAAATCTCGAATATAAATCAAATGTGGGGTGCACTCTAAAGAGAAGCTGAGTGACGCCAAAAAATTACCTTCTGTCTTTTATTATGATCTAATTATGTCCTATGCCGGTCAGCAGTATGCTTTGCAAAATACATTTCGGATCGGTTGAAGATGTCGCATAGCGAATTCTTTTTGCTTCTTATTGATATAAGCATATGAAGGAGATAAAATGAGCTATGCTCATTATACATTGAGAGTGGACTGCGCAATTTCACGACCACAATATTTTTCATGAACCACCCTAACTTTTTGGACGATTCCGCCGAACGCTAAAGCTGATTTTATTTCAGTTTGCAAGGCAATTACTGCTCGATATTTTCCGAATCCATGACATGAGGTGTTCAAGCGAAAAAAAGAAGTACAAATGAGCAAACTTTCCTTACTTGCAGTGTTCAACTGACCCTTCGCCTATAAAACCGCCAAACCTGGGATTTGCATTCATCGTCCTTTCCCTAGAGCCAGAGCTTTACCCAAACGAAGGAAAAAAAAACATGAGAATCGTCACAATCCGTTCTCGTTGGGCTCATAAGTGCACATGTATCGATAACTGCCTAGGCCGACAAAGTCTTCCATACCTCTGGGGTTCAATTCAGGCTCGTCTGGGAGGATAAAAGTACCTGTATATCGGCTGGCCACCGCCAGTCTTTGACTAAGCCAGACATACATCAATACGCCACGACGGTACTGAATGGAAGCCGAACGCTGGGGCACATCCCTCAGTTGGGATTGAGCCCGAGGAGTTTAGCTTCAGTCCTTTCCCGTATCACGTAGTACAAGCTATTTTTTGTTCGTACTTCAATTCATTCATTCATGCCATGAATTGCGTTTCCGCTTTGAGAACAAATTGGCGCGTTAGTTCGATCCTACAGCCACCGCAACTCGCCACTCTTTTTGCTGTTGACATGATCATCTTTCGAACCCAGCATCTGGATTGGGCTATCGAATGCTTTAAAATTTATCATTCAAGTATAAATGATTATTTCTTAGCTCGTATGATTCATACACAGCTCTCCCAATGGTCCTATAGAACGTTACAATAATGCAAAAGAAGGCAGGAAACAAGGTTACCTAATCTATTCTCGTGCCGTACACGAAACTGTGTGATAAGCTGCCATTGATTGGAATTGGGTCCTATCGTTGATTTCTATGGCGACTACATATTGTAAGGCCCTCAGTTTTCGCACTTCCTCATTGTTTATTCAAAGCAGGTACTGCGCCAAATCTGCTTTTGCCTATCATAAACGAGTGCATGCTCATATCAAATCCATTTCCATGCACTACCCTTATGTAGAATTCTATGAAAGTTGCCTCAATCTCGTCATCAATTGTCTGTTCACCAAGATTAGTTTAAGATTCTTTCTTATTCAAAAAAGTTCATCAGTTAGTATTGGCCATTCATAAGCTATGAACTGGCTAATCAACAACCCAGCTTTTCATGAGTGGAATATGAGAATTCTCGCAAATTCTCGTTGAGCATTGGCCTCTGTTTGCTTGTTCTATCTCCGAATCCTTTTTTGATACTTCCTTTTCATGTTATGCCTCTTCGTCCTGCATTTTTTTAATTCAAAGACTTGACTCGATCACGTCAAACAAGTGGATTCGTTCCGTGGAGCATAAGTGGTGTGCAATGCCGCCGCGTGGTAGTTGGAAACACTAATCACTGGGATGTCGGCCGCGCTTTCCTTTCCAAATTGCCTTTGTCGAGCCAGCTTCACGCTGTTTCAGATGGCTGGTACTGATTCTTGACACAGAATCATCTCAAGGTCCTGATTTCCCGAATGATCCTTATTTCTTTTTCTCCACATCAAATTTCATTTGTCGGTTCAATAGCTCATTCTCATGAAATCTGAGTATTTCTTCGTTTTGGCATATAGGGATTCTCCACACGTTTGGTGATATTTTTTGACCATTCCAGTGTATCTGATAAAAGGTTGCTCGAATATTAAAGGCGCCGTAAGGATAGGAATCCCCCNCCCCCCCCCCCCCCCCCCCCCCCCCGTATCATAGTTTATCAATAAAGCAGTCTGGCAAAGATCCGAAGCTGAAGGAAGTGGCAAGAATAGCTGGGCAGGTGAAAGGAGGCGAGACTTTTCAGACCCAGTACAACGCTCGTACACTGACGTGAGCTGAAATTTCTGAGAAGTTAAACTGCATAAAGTGTAAGAAAAAAAAACGTGGGAGAAGTAGCATGAGTATAAAGATGAGGATTCGATCACCATTATAAACCTCTTCCTAGAACTGCACCTCCGTAGTGATAAAATGGATAGGCAGCCGTGCATTACAACATGTTTTGTTACTCCAATATTTAGTTGTCAATTCTTGAATGATGGGATTTTCTACCTGGGCTTGTTTGGTCTAGTACCACTGCAGTCAAAGTCGCATTGCAGGCAGAATTCGATTAAGCATTTGAAGTTTACTTTTGAGGCACGAATTCAATGCATACTTTCAGATATCACTGCTTCATCCGAATGGGAAGTGTGTTCTCGCTGATAAGCTTACGAAAGACTGATACGAGACGGCCGAGCAGACAGGTGCACACTGAATCGATTTGGTTTTTCGCTGTTTATCAATTTGCTTGGAGATTTGGCATCCCTTAAAATCACACAGCGTCCTGATCGTCTGAGATAGGGAGTGAGCTCAAGAATTCAACTGAGGGTGGCTGCAGTTGACATCTCACTGCCTATGTCAATTTCATAGCTATCGCTTCTTCCCCCATAAAGATATTCGACACCTTCTTGTTCCCTGGTTTTTGATTGCCAGGAAAAGCAAGATCTTTCTTTGATTTCAAATTGTGAGTATGCATTTTCAGGTGCAAACGGTGAATGGAATCGTTGAGGGTTTCCGGCTTGATGTAGGTAACCATAAAGAAGTTGATGTATTCCTCGGAATCCCCTTCGCAGCACCTCCAATTGGTGAACTTCGTTTTCAGGTGAAAATTACATGCTAATATCTTCAACTGATGTATGTATTCATTGGTTTTTTATTGATTTACTGCGAAGACAAATACAGTTGTCAGTTCCGAGCAGTGTTTTGTTCTTGGAAGTCAATTTAGCAGAATAAAAATCTGGAAAACATAACAAGAAAGAGACGAAGGCAAAAGCATTAAGAAAACTCGTCCGCTCCAATCCTTCATCATTACTGGCGTCGGGGAAGGTCACTTTCTTCTTCCTAGCGATCGAATGAAACCTCGGACATGATTTTTTTGGGTTATTGGGAACATGTTTTTTTGAAAATTTACCACTGAATGTACTTGATATTGTGCCTAATCTTGTAAACGGCACTTAGAAGAAAATTTGCGGATGCTATAGAAGTACTGTTACAGAAACCTATTCCCCCGTGCAATTGGGAAGGCGTTCGCAAATGCATACGCTTTGGCCCTAGAGCCCCCCAAGCGGATTTTTTCTGGGAGAGAATATCACTTGGACGGAGAAGTGAAGACTGCTTGTACCTAAACGTCTTCTCACCGACATGGACGGCGGAAAACGAGGTTTGCTCATAGTATATACAAATACTCTTACGACGGCTTTCTGTCGCTATGTAACTGCTAGAAAACAAGTCTGAACTGCAGAGTACCGTGAACATTTTTGGTTGCAGTCTGGGCATGCAGTGATGGTTTATGTTCATGGAGGAGGCTTCCTGATCGACTCTGCAGTGAAGTACGGCGATGAAGGAATCGCAAAGTGAGAATACTCTGGTTTTTCTCGAGCCAATCAGAGTGTGGGGTCGAGGGGGGATGCGGGAGGGGAGAGGGGGATATGTCATCTTCGACATAGAATAAAATAGGATTGAAAATCTTACAAGACCTCGACAGAATTGCTCGGAAGAGGTAAGGTGAAATGCATCCGTAGGTGGTGTCAGATGTAGCCACGACAGAGTAGAGAAGCAGCACTTGAAATGAGAGGTCATTTCGTTAGGAGCTGGCTCAGTTTGATTCCCTGCTTTAATCGGCCTCCTGTTTAATGTACCATCTTCGACTTCTATTATCAAATAGAGCTATTCAAGATATCTTTGCCGCCATGGAGTTGTAGTCGTCACCATTCAGTACCGTCTTGCCCTGTTAGGCTTTTTGTCGACTGGTGACGAAGTCTGCGCAGGGAATCTTGGCCTATGGGATATGACTCTGGCTCTACGATGGGTACAGGTTTGTTGGCTTTTCATTTGGGTTTATCTACCGCTTCACATCTTGATGAAATTGTATTTAGGACAATATAAGAGCTTTTGGTGGAGACCCCAACAGAGTGACGGTGTTTGGGCAAAGTGCCGGTGGAGCCAGCGTGGACATGTTAGCGCTCAGTCCACACTCCAGAGGTGAACGCACTTTTCGAGATCTTTGTCTATTATCAAGTGTCATGACCAAGTGACCCTTAGTAGCGATAGTCGTGCAACTAAGCACTAAGCAGAAAATGGGATCATGAGAAGGTGAATTTTGGAGTTTATCACAACTAATGGGGCTGATATAGTGAAGTGGCAACTGGAGCACTATCTCACACGCACGGGCACGTGTTCGAATCTCGTATCAACAGCAGCCCAAGCCAACGAAGATTGATTAAAGCCCTAAGACTTTATCCTTTATCTTTTTTATCACAACTGTGATAGGCTTGTAGAGCTCAGCGCACCCTTCACTTAAAATATAGAAAGCCATTATCGTTGTTCTCTAATAACTAGTCTCAATATGAGTTTCACCTGTGAGCATAGGTCCCGCTAGGTGAAGCTCCTCCAACCTTGTGACTGTTTCGAATCGCACTCTGACCTGTGACATGGTCATACCAATCCTTGTGTTTTACTGTAACTTCCATAACTGAACTTATTTCAGACCTCTTTCATCAGGTGATCCCAATGGCTGGAAATGCCGAATGTACCTGGAGTACCGTAAACCGATCACAATTAGTTGAATCTTGCCGAGATTTCGCTAGAAGACGAGGATGGGATGGTGTCAACTATGGTCAGTTCAACGTAGGTGACGCTCCTTTTTCATATTCGCAAGTAGCCCATTTTATGTGACAGCATCATAGACCGAAAGGTTTTCCTGTGGCGTTTAACTAGGACTTGAAGCTATTTTGAAATCACCTAACACCTTCAGTTCCTACCGCTTACCCACTTGAGCTGCTAAATGAAATGAAAATAAATATCAATAAAATGAATAGAATTATAAATAAAACAAATAAATGAAAATTAAATGAAAATGATATGGTAGGTTCTTCATGATTGCCCATATTTAAATCTGATCGGATGTAGCATCACAACTTTCACAAGGTGATCGCTGGTAAGAGATAGTTGAAAGATAAAGCAAACGAGCTTAGTTGATGACTAGATTTTACCAGTCACGCCGTAAAGAGCTCAAATACACAATGCAAGATCATTCTGGGTATGTAGCTTAAGTACATGAAAGTTATGTAGAAAGATATCAAAAGATGGAGAGAAAAACGCGTAAATCTGCGAGTTCTGGAAAATTCGAGGCTTGGAAAAGTAGCAAGAAAGGGTTTGTACGAGATCAGTGTAACTGCCTGGCTGTCTTCCACAAAAGCGCGCTCTTTTTCAGTGCAGCCGTAACATCGCTGTGATATCACGTCCAGGTCCCGGTGAGTACATCGCCGGAGCTGGTTTTGGAGCCCTTGTAACGCCCCATTACGGTTGTTTTTCGAACGATAGTTTCTCACGTGCTATCATTGGGGCCCACAGATTCATTCGGGTAGGGAATTTCGGAAAGCTATTTTATCGCGGGCTGTGCCTTTAATCGCTGCGCCTATATGTAAGCAGCGGCTTATTACTAAACCATCAATCGGCTATATCACGTCAGTTTGTTTTTTGATATTAAATTCCATCATGATACATTTTTTTAGATATCGAGACAAGTCGAAGTCTAGTGGAATTCCTCCGCCGTCGCAAGGTGGCAGAGTTCGAGAAACGCTTTATCACCTCAAAGGTTTGCTTTTTTCTAGTTGTTTTACCTTTATTACTTAGCAGTTATCTTCGATATTCTCCTTCATGTGTAGGCATTCTATGTTGTCTCGCTAACACATTTCATGTCGAGTGCTTTAAGAAGAGTGCTTCTCTCCACATTTTCAATGGTTGATTTCACTTTACAAATTGGCGTTTATAGGGAGTAGATGTATCGAAAATCGGTCTCGACTTGGCTCCAGTAATTGGCACTACTCCCGACGATTTCCTGCCGAAAAGTATAGACGAACTACGTAAGGAAGCGCCTAAAAAGAAGGCTCTCATCGGGACATGCCAACATGAAGGGCTCCTGTTCGGTAAATTCTTGGTTACTATCTTGTTTGAAACAACATATGGTATGAAGCAAGTTCCCTCAGCGCTTATGTACTCTACATAACTTGGAAGGGGAATTGGTTGAAGCCATGGACATGAAGTGGTCGGGTTCTATCTAAAGCAACATAGAAATTAAGAGAAGCCAGTTTGCTTCAGGCAAAGTGAAACTCTGTGCTGGCCATTATAAGGGAAATGGCGACTGGGATGTTATGAAGAAACGCGCCTTACTATAATACCTACATTTGGTGCCCAGGTTGAGCTTCGGTGGTTGCACTGCTTAACACCTTCTCCTCTCAACGGAAGTGGCCTTTGTTCTCGCGTTTAAAAAATGTTTGGGTTCTTTTAATGCGAACCTCAGTTACACAGCGCCTTCATATGCCCTGCTTTCTCTAAATGCACCTCTGTGATTGTCAGCGCACATCTGAAAGACCCGTTTACAGCTCCCTGTTGAACTTACTCACTGGTACTAGAAATGATTAATTATACAGTAGTAAACCAAATGCTTTTATTAAATCTCGTGTAGAATAATTTCGGTTTCGTTTTAGCCACACTCTCACCGAATCACTTCAATCTTAAAGGCATCGATAAACTGATTTCCGTGGTGATCACCCCGGAAAACCATGCGAATTTTGAGGACTTGAGGCGCCAAGCACGCGATTTGTACCTGCGCAATGTTAACCTCGATTCTAAAGAAGAAATAGCCAGAGCCTACGTGAAGGTAATGATTCAATTCTACTCCAAAGATGGGCGACGCGTATCCGTTTGTTTAGGTTGTTTGTTTTGCTAATAAAGAAAGGAAAAAAGTGCTACAAATTTATGTCGGTGTGTGATAAGTGTCAGAACGAGGTGCTCCTAAACCTAAGGACAACCACCTTTTTGATTTCCCTATGGAAATGGGGCGATCGGAATAGTTTTGCTATCCACCAGTTGTAGTGTCTGACTTACTCGCTAGTACTAGTCAAAGACTGTTTGACTGGATTGCCATTTAATTGACGTGACAGTTTAGCAGTTTTAACACTTAATCAATTTTTCAGTTGTACAGCGATATATTCGTGAACAATGGGACATACAGTTATGTCACGAAGATGACAGCGCTATCCAACCGCATCTACTTGTACTCATTTGAGTTCTACAACCCACGTAGCTTCGGCGTGTTATCGCTTCGAATGCCATTCAGAGGTTGATACTTGAATCCTCACTACACATCTGTTACCAACTGTAGTAGACATATTGTTCGAATAGATTAACCTCGATGCAAGTGACACAGCTGCGAGGTTCCAAGCAGATTCTTATTTGGGACAAGGAATTGTGTTTAGCGTCGTATTTGGAGAGCTAATTTCAGGTGCAACTCACTGTACGGAACTGACTTACCTGTTTGGTGTGTCGCTTCTGTTTGGATTTCACTTCACTAGTGCTGACAAACAAATGATCGACCTAATGACACGAATGTGGACGAATTTCGCTAAATATGGGTAAGGCCACGCTCATTTTGTGTTTACATGATCATTTTATGTAATCGTGAAGGGATATGATACAATGAGCCTTTTTTATCTTGCCACGGGTCTCTCAAGTCTCTTACGAACCTCTAAATTTGTTGCTTAAGGACTAGTTAGAATAAAGGCGACCTTGAGGTTTTAATACCGATATCGAATGATTGGCAACGTAACTGAAACAAGTGATCCAGAGATCCGAACGGACCATATGAGGACTCAACCGTATTTGACTTCAAATGGGAACCAGCAACCTCACAAGAGTGTGGCCGGTATGAATTTTTGGTATTAGCGATGCATTTTTCCCATGTGATGTTAAGTTATTACTAAATCAACTTTCAGCCATCTAGTCATCAGTGAAAAATGTGAAATGCGCTCGATTTATGAGGAAAGAAGGGCCGAATTTTGGAAGAATATACGGATAACAGCGAAGAACTGTTGAGAATCAGTGAGCTAGAATTTGTGGATGCTAAGTTGATGCTTTAGTTCGTCAACATTTCTGCAATTTTTCAGAGTAGTTGAACTGTGACCTGTGTTCTCCTATTTGGTCTCTGCAATTTCACACTTCAGGCCACTTCTGATTTGTGTTGTGATACTCTTGGTTCAACTCAATCATGAATGCTCAAAGTGTTCGAAATCTGCCCCATAATCATGAGCTTTTGCGGCACTGGCGCTGTCGATTGGAGCCTTCAACCGTTCCCGATGATCTACTGAGCAGTTAGTTTCCAACGAAAACAGTTCTGAGTAGAGTCATTTACTTCATTGGTAAATGGAAACATTGTTGAGCGATTTAGTTTCAACCAAATTAGCCGCGGCTTCCTGCCAACATGGCCTATCCCACTAGCTCCCGAAGCTTAACCATGCCATTTTTCCATAAAAGCTTTAACTGTTCGCGGCAGAGGGCAAAGCAAGGACTCAAGGTTGTCGCCTGAATGTCAAAGAAAATGTGCAGTTGTCGCGTCATTTGCGCAGCAAGCTTTGAGCTTTTACTTCTCAACCTTCTCGTTAAATTGCAAAAAAAAACACCTGGACGAGAATTCACGGTTAGCTAGTCAGTTACTGCATTATTGCCCGATTCTTCAAGAGCCACAATTACCTTGACCAGTTTTGTTTCAAACACCCTATTCAGCAATAAATAAAGTGATTTTTTGGACAATTTTTATTTTCGATAAGTCTGTGTATCATATTTCGTATAGGCGTGTTCGTTTGTTCAGGTGAATTGTTTCACACGGGTGTGCTCATACATAGACTTCCTCACGGTGATTTGATAAAGCTTTTTCAATACGTGTTTACATTTGAACATTTTCATACATTGGAAACATTAGTGAAAACAACTCTAAATTTGATAATTACAAATTCTGATATACAGATGATAATTGTTTGAGTTTCATCCAGATCTGAAGTCGCATTGAGTTTAGTCACTGCAGCATAAGTAGTTGGGCTCTCCAGCATTCTGAAATAAGTAAACGAAGTCAGCGCGTTGTTGTGTTCCGAATGAGCTCGGTGGCATCTCTTGTGGCATCTCTGGTGACATACATTAGTTTAACCGACCGACCGACAGCGTTGCTGGCCACGCGCCGACAACACGGAACCCATTGCGTTCAAATCGGCGTGAACGGTATCGATCGCGTTGTCCAGCGTATCCGGCGTTGTCAACGCGTGGCCAGCAACGCTATCTGTGGGTCGCACGCCGTTGATCTCTGAAAGCACTTTCTACCTTCACAGCGTCCACACGCGCCCTTAACGTGGCGTTTTATGGCTTTGGTGCTTCGAGCGCTGGACCACATTTACTTGGTAGCAGATGCTGATTATAGTTAGTTTTCAATAGAAGCAAACTCTCGCCTTACCTTTTCGAACTCAGTGGTACTCATTCGGCATTCATAGCCATCAGGACAAACATCATTATCGTCTGGATCACATAACAATGGCATCGTTGATGGCTTACCAGTTGGACATTCTAGAATACATTCTAAAGCACAAATTAACAAATGCTGAAAATGGGTCAGATCGTCTGGAAACGGGCTAATGGAGACCTACTCAAGAGTTGCTTAGAGCCTTCTGAAGTGTAAATTTTGTTTAGAAAGATCTAGTATGTAGTCTGCCACGAAACGAGCTTTCGATTGTGTTGTACTTTCTCTAACTTTATTATAGTGTCAGATATCAAACCACTTTTTTTTATCACTGCATTTCTGCTTATATTTTCGTGTTTCAGCATTCAACACATAGAAAACGTTTTTTCGACGGTTTTTCATGATCCCGCTTCGTTCAGCGCAAGGTTGTTTGCGCGGAGTGGTGCAGTTAAATTGAAAGAGTCGCTTTGCGGGGGAAGCGACGTCGCGCACGAAGGGATGTAGCAGAAAGAAGTAGCAGCAACGCAGCGAGTAAGGAATACAGGAACAGTAAGAGTAATAATAGAATCATGCCAAAAATAATCGATCGAGCTGCATGAACATCTCTAGAACTGCAATAACGAGGCAACTAGTCCGCGACTGCTGCGTGTAGCGAATCAGTTACACAAAACCGATTAAACTGCCCGTCTCCCCTCACGCGGCCATGTGCAATTCGAGAGAACTAACCTGGCTGTGCTGATCCCGCTTTAGGTTCACAACAAACTCTTTGTAGGCGGTTAATACTGTAGACGCAGGCACCTACACGACAATCGCTTTCCGATTTACAGTCGCTCGTCGCGGACAAGAACGGCAAATAACAGTCGGGAACTGTAATAGGGGAATAAAATGAGTATAAACTGTTGAAAGATGGAGCTAGACAACTGGTTCAAATAGTATCGGGATTAGAAAATTTTCAAAATTTCCTCTTTTGTGCTTATCCAGAAGCGGACATTACGCAATAGATTATCCCCTTCGAAAGCATTGAACATGGGACGAGTAATCGCGATTAGTGTGTACCGCTGTGTCGTTGGCACACAGTCGTCTGCTAGCCACTTCCTTCGATACAAGCCCACATTAGTAATATGGTAGAAGTTTCTTTCACGTGGGGACCCATCCATCATAATGTCGCTAATCGTTCGGTTAGTGTACTAGATTATCATTATCCTTTTTTTCATGACATGCGTAATTGGTTTCCAACTTGGTCACGCCAGGGTTTTGTTACTCGACCTTTCTTAACTGATTAGTTACTTATTGCAGGCATAGAAATAGACCGGTGAAGATGAAAAAAGTGCTTGCAGAACGCTGGAAGATTCTGTATCAATATAAAACGGTTATACAATCTGAAGCAACATTATGGAAAGAAAGCTCGTGCGCATCATCCCAAAAAATCTTTTTGTTTCTGGTTTTCCATATTCATTTTCACCAAATTCCCAGTGAACTTGTCCTCCAACTCCCCCGAGAATTTTAATTTATCATGAGCGATGAAGTGATTGCCGTGAATCTTCGTAGATTTGGACCGTCAATAATTCCGAGCAATCGAAATCTCGAAATCTGTCGTTGCATGAATGTTCCGAGAACTATTACTTAGAGAACTGTCGTAAGATCCCCAGAGCAATACTTAAGCAAAGCACTATGCCTCTGCCTGGAAGGTAGAAAGTTTTCATTTCTGGCGCAAGCAGAATTTTCCAGATTATTCTTTGCATTCGACTAATGTTCTCTGAGTCAATCAGATCTGATGGCGATTGATTTCTCTGTGTCCTATACATCCTCGAGGCCAAGACATGAGCCACGTCTTTCGACTGATTGACGGCAGCCCATATTGCTCATTTGAGGAGGGAATCTGATTCATGGGAGGAGCAGGAATGTAGTTAATTTTGATTTGATGGATATTCGGCTCATACTTGTAACATGAAGAGGTGAGGAAGCAGAGGAGCGGTGAGAGTGCAGCTACGGAGCTGCTCGGTACACAAAACCCGATTACCATCCACACTATCAAAAAAATCTTTCTTCCCAATAAATTTTCAGGCTAATAAAGATTTGATCGACTCGTTTGATCACAAGAAAAGCGTTAAACACCATCAGCTTGATCATGGATTGTTTATGGCTTAAATGTTCAGTGCTTACCTGCTCCAACAGCTGCGAATATCAAAATAGTAATGATAGAGAAATTCATGGCAGTGACTGAAGGATGTGCTCTGTGGCAGCCAGCACTATTTATCCATTTTATAGCAGCATCAAAGGCATTGTCTCCTCATGTTTGCTGCTTTTTTTCACGTCGGCAGGAAGCTCGACCTCCGTTCGTGCCTGAGCGAGCACACATGGTGCGAGTCGAGCTTCACCTTTTCTTCCAGAAATGCATTACTGACCACATTTTAAAATCGGCTAACCTTAAGAGGTCTTCACAAGACCTCTTTACTGGTACTACTTACGGAATTGGCAAAATATTTTTGAAACTCGTGGTGGGTGCAATTCCGTGACTTGGCATCGAAGTGCTTTTTTGCACGGATGTTCTTGATTGTCGATTGGAAAGAATAAGGCTTGCTTCTCTAGTTAGTTACTCGAACAACTTCCACAGCGTTCCCTGACATGGTCCTTTTCTGATTGTGAGATGCACAACTACGTTAACTATGTTCCCTGCACGACCGCATGACGATTCTTACTCCCCGTTGCTGTCTTAGTGCAACTGCCTTTACTTCGGAGCAAATCTTACAATCCCAATTTCAAACTGCTCAATCCTTCGAAGCCATTATAAGAAAATAATCGTTCTGACCTAGTGGGACAGGGCCTTGCCGAGACGGATGACACGTATTTTTGGAGGAACCTAGGAAGATGAAGTAGATGTAGTAGAATAAAGTTAGTAAAGAGCCTCGCTCCTCCAGAATTTTGAGTTTTAGATATAAATACTGTTCGCTGATTCTTGGAAGCAAAGCCATAAAGAAGCTTAACTGAAGCCTCAAACCCTTCGGGAATCTTTGTGACCTTTCTCGGGCTTTACTCTCATGATGCACCGAGCGAATGTTAGGGTGGAACCTTTAGCCTTTCCATCATGGGTATGAATTAGGGTACAAACTACGAACAAATTGTTCTCAGGCCAAGTGATCGTTGCTCGCCATTGGGGTTCATTGTTTTGATCTGAGTTCGTCTCGAATTCGATAAAAACCGTGAATGGACTATCTTGAAAATAAACTGGCTTCATTAGTCACGATCTGAGTCGAATACACACTTAAATATTCGCATAGCTTTGCATGAAAGCCTATAAATGAGTGCTCTTCAAAAGAGTCACCAATTAGTCTCAATGATTCTTGGCTAAAAGTCTCAAAGATTTGATGATATTTATACAACATTCTTGGAACAATTTTCTATTCTTCTTGTGTGATTCAATTTTCAGATGGGAATTACCCGTTCGTTTGAAAAGCAGCCAAATACAATCAAGGAAATGTTGAGCGTTCCGTCATAGCAGCTGTGCAATTAGCCCGACAGCAGAAAATTTTGCCACACAAGCTGACGTCAGGGCATCGCCGACTGGAATTGATACACATGATGTTCAGGATTTGAAATCTACACAATGCAGGGACAGCACTGATCAAATAGAAGAAAAACTTTTTCATAAGGGGTTTGTTAGTATATTAACACGATTTTTCGATTGGGTGCTCGATTTCAACGCCTTATTTGAGTTCAGTATAAAGTCGTCACAGGGAATTACTGCCCCTTGAATACAGGAAATTATTTGCAGTAATTTTTCGCTTTAATAGTCTATTTGTTTGTCGACGCCTCGGGCCTATTAAAAACCTATGAACATCAACTGCCCATAAATCGACGAGCAAAGAGAAAAGGAGCAGCGAGTGGGCAAAAGAAAGTGGTCTCCTCAGCTCCACGTAACCTTGTTTGGGTTGGACAGCATATCCGTTTTTGCGTATTCTTTGCCAATGTTCTGAGTTCGTTGGTTTTTTCTAACGGGTCTACACCATTTAAGTTGTCTATTCCTCCCCAATAAACTTGGAAAGAAAATCAGTAACTACGCCTTTGTTAAACAGTACTTTAATGAAGCCACTCCTATGAATTCCATGAAAGTGTCATTAACGATATTGGCCAAGGGCGTGGTGCTTCAGACTGAGCTACTAATTTCGAAGGACTGAATAGCATTGGAACGTTTATTAGGAAGAGCATGACTTTAAATTCCCATTTCACGTTTTGGATAGATTTCGCTTGTTACATATAATTAACAGTTTCGAGGCAGATTAAACAGATCTGCATGAACGGAACGATCTTTTAATCCTAGATCAAGGAGTGTGCCGAAATCAGACCGAAAATCATTTTTCTATCGTTAGTCCAGGGCCGAATTCAAAAGCGAATCTTTTTGGCCATTGATATATGAGTGAATCTTGGAGCACGATGAAGTTTAACACAAGAAATTTAAAACATGAACAATTTCTTTTTGTTTCAGAATTGAGACAGTGAGAAATCGACATTCAATAAGGAAGAGTTCTCCACAGAGGAATAAGTGTCTTTGCAGCACTTCTGTTATCCCTTTATGAAGTTGGAAGTGTGTTTGTTTGTAGGACAGATGCAAATCAAGTTCCAATGCCACTAGTGCAGATTTTTCGAACAACTCATACGTAAACCCTAAGGTAGCACCCGAATGTTCCAAAAAAAGATTTAGTTCCGACTTTCAGAGGCAGTAGTAGGGGCAATGCTGGAATTTCAGGTTACCAGTCAACAACAATAAGAAACAAGAAAAAAATATCAGAAAAGGTGTTTTTTTGAATGATCTATTTGAAGCCAACTGATTTATGAGCAAAAAATCCCCCATAGCTTCCCAATTAAAAGGCAGTTCAGAGATTACCCGCCGATCCGAGTAACCCCCAGCGTATAAAAACCCAGTCCATACGTCGTTGAAGAGCAAATTTTTGATTCATGCACTGAGCCCCCTGCCTACTTTTATGTACTGTCCCCCAAACTCTTCAATGCACCATCGTGGTACCGTTTCACATGTTGTATCCTTTTTCATTTATTCGGAGCGCATCCAGCTGCTTTGAGTATGGCATCCAGAAGTCACAGCAATTTTTGAAAAAAAAAAGAATTGTCGTATGGTCTCTGTCAATTTCCTATTGAAGCTCAACTCCCATCTGAATAGAGGAAAGCCAAACAGAGCCTCACAGTTGAACGGTGAACATACTGATAATGGTCTTGACGATTTTGAGCATTTCGAGCTAACACAGGCAGGAGAAACAAAGCCATAAAATTTTTTTGATGTGAGAGATCATATTGAACCCGAACCGTAGCACACTTTTTCGGTTACCTGTTGGTTTGTAACAGGCCGCTTTAAGTGCTCTGGCTCTAGAAGCCGAATTCCAGTCGGAAATAAACACTGGAGCTATCCTTCTTTACGGCTCACGAAGCTGGAAAGGTCGTGGTCACTTCACATAACTCGAAATCGTGTTGACCTGTAGAGGCCCATCTGCCCATAGGCTTGCTATGTATTCCTTACAAATCTCTGCCTATTAAAGGAGAAAATCACTAACGATCATCTTCAATATCACTTCTTGAACCCTCCATTTCAGGTAATGTTACACATCATCCCCGCCGTAGCCGTGATTTTAGTAGGTGCTCGTTTCTCTGATGCTCAGACTCCAAAATCGAAGTTCGATTCCAAAGTGATAGCCTTAGGTGTAAAGTTCTACAAAGTGGACGAAATTGCCAAGGTATGACAAATTTACTCAGATGCCTATTCAATAACTTAATAAATAACCTTTGTCAAGCTCACCGACTGCATCGATGACTCCTTCTACAACATTGCCACTATGGATGAAATTAAAGACAGTGAGTCTATTCTCAATTCGCTCAGTTCTACTAAAAAGGGTATCATTTCGAATGCCTTCTCGAAGACTTGAAGACTTTTAGAGAGCTGTTAACTTTCAGAATGCTTTTCGTGTTTGCTGGACCACACTGCTGCCTCCAAATATCTTACTTTGATGCAGCTTTTATCAAGCAGTAAGTCGAGTTAAAGTTCTAGATAACAACGATTTCCCAAAAAAGGCACCGTCCACGATAGTCTTTAGGTATCTATTGAGAGTGCAATAATAGAAGCTGTGGTGCATAGTAGTGCAAGGGCTATGAAAGCGCGGAATTTGGTGGATTTGAAAAATTATTAGCAAAAAAAAGAAAGAGGTTGTACGAGGTGGCCGTCTGGGTGTTTCGCATTTGAACGTGTTATTCGTCTGAACCTGTGAATAGTGCAGTAATAACAAGGCAGGCCTAACACGACCATTTTGATTGTCTACGTCGGCCATAGCGGTTTTGGAGGACCTGACAATGACCCATGTACTACTATTAGGGGCCACAGATTCATTCCAGCGGGAATCATTTTCTATCGTGAACTGTGTCTTCAATCATAGCTTGCTCATCTGTCTGGCGCTGTACTTGAAAAAAGACGAGACTACGTTTTCGGCTTCGTGGTCCAACATTATTGCAGTGAATACGTTACCGAAAATATAAATTTTTTTTTAAGAAATCCTAGACACTTTTGGCCGTAACCAGACGGTCCCTCACCCCACTTTCAATCTGGTATTGCTGTGTTTTCGATTGAATGTATGGTCCATAAGAGACCAGTATGCTTTCATCTTCCCAACAAGTCGGACACCGATTATCCGACTAAGGGGTAAGGAGGGCCAGGTGGGCCCAGGCAGGCCTCAGTCAAAGAACCGATTCCCGGACCAGTGGTGTGACAGCGAGCGTCACTTACCACTACACCTCCTCAGCCCTTATTTTGTTTTTAGCATGATGTAATCGAGTGAGCACACATATGATTTTGATTGAGATTCTGATGGGATTTTTTATAGAAAACTAGCAGAATGCAGCAACTTTTTGCCATCCCTTTTCTTCTGACTGTTTTTTTTTAAATTGTTGCACGAACACAGTACGGATTGTCAAGTTTTTTCTTGCTCTAGTACATAGAAGGGCTCGCTGATTGTGAGAGAGAAGCGGTTAAATATACCGGATATGTATTCCATCGTAAATGCTCCACCATCTCCATTATTCTATGTTTGCGTATCTCCAATAGACGTTGATCAATCTAGACAATAATAAAACTACTTCAAATATACTGATGTGAGAACAACACCACAATGAGCGCACTATTTGGCACTGCAATACTTTCAGTCATTTCGTAAGTTCAGAACGAGGTCATTTCAATGCTGTTCAAATGACTTGTTTCAGTGGACAGCTGCTTGAAACCGGAGGGGCAGACTACTATGAAGTTGATTGACAAAGTTTCACCATCGGCTTATACCGTTCTACAAAATGTTTATAATAAGGTCAGTTCTAGTAAGCAGTTGAGTTTTTCACACGATGAGGAAAGTATACCGGTAGGAGATAATTTAGCAAGCTTTTATTATCTATTAGGTACGGACTGTGCCATGAACTCCCACGAGGTTGTATCAAAACTTTAATTGCTAACTTTTCTGCGATATCGCCTTTTCCAGAGCCTATTGGAGTTCGAAATCCCCTAGGCACGCAGGTATGCTAAATGAGGGCTACACACCGCAACTTTGTAGATCTTCGAAATCAATCAGCAACCAATAATGGGGTTGGTGTCAACTGAGCTTCGACCTCATCGAAGTTGCTGTGGGAAGCCCAACCTTATATAAGGCCTCAGTTCCCGCGTACTTGTGAGGCATCCTTCCCCCGCTTCGTTTTTGGATTGGTGACTTGTGTCCGAAATGCCTCGATAGGGTGGCACGTTTTCAAAGACAAATGAGTTTTCCAGACCCGATCTCTTGAGACACTTTCTAGGGGTAGCACTGACTCCATCAAAGATGGTTGGCAGTGCAAGGGGAACNTTTCTTTCCATTAGGGTACTATCATCTATTCGTAGCTCTCCACAAAAGGAGCTCAGTGAGTGGTCGGAAAAGTGCAGGGGCCATTTACTTGGGCAATATCGCGTGCCATTTCCAACAACTCTTTTCGCTCATCCTTTCTAGTACAGATCTTCGCATTGTACAAAGCATATTTCTTACAGCCCGTTTCTTCTGAAAAGGATGAGCTGAGCGACAATCGGCCATATTTCTTTATTGGTAGGCTTTCTGTACTGCTTAGTGGCAAGCGTACCGCAGTTGTAATCTCACTCAGACGTTTAAGAAAGGGAGCCAATTTTTGGTTGATTGCTATTATTTTAAGCATATACTGATAACACGTTTCACTATTTACCAATAATGGCATTGACCAGTTACACGGTACCATCCATCAAGCTTTAAAAGGACATTTATTAGAAGTTTCAGCAGGTTAAGCTATATTCAAATAAACAATTACAACCACCACCAAAGAACGAAGTTACATACATAATTTTCATCGTTGAACGGGGCTCTCAATCGCACTTATGATTTTCGGGCACAGCTTGCCTAAATCAAGAGAGCCCTTGGACCATCTCAACCAACTATATTTACTATGGCATATAGCCAGTCACACGTTTGCGGTGATAAGGCAATTTGCGACATTGGTAGCGACTCGTTTGCCCGGTTTTTTTTTTTGTTCCATATTTTCATGGCAACAGTTATTCAGGTTTGAAGTGAGAACCTAAACATTTCTTACTAGAAATATCGAGAAAGATCGGTACACTTGACTAAGTTGTTTAGGTGATCGCCGATATAAAGACTGCAAAGGCTGCTGGGAAAACAAAAGCTGCCGTCATGGACATTGGATATACGACCATCGCGGGGCAAGTGACGAAACCACTAATGGAAAAACTGTGTACCACACTGATACCGGTAAGTTCTTTACTAGTATTTGTAGGTTGAAAAGGCTGCTACAACTCTAGCTCCTTATGCACTATTATGCTGCTCTTAAGAACTTTTTGTAATGTAATACTTGAAGTCAAGAACATAAAGCTCAAAAGCACAGTTCACAATAATTATGGGGGCATTCTTTTAATTCTGAAAACTGGGGGTGTTAAAAGAGAATGGTGCATCGAAGGGGAAAAAAAACGAGAAAAACCACCGACTTTGCAAAAGGTAACACTTCCCAAAAGTAGTGCAAGTAGGGGTCGTACGAGATCATACAGACGCGAATGTCTCGGAGCGTGTATTCGTGTACAAGATCAAGATGTCAGCTGTTGTCATTGCGTGGACAGCTGACTACATCAAGCCAAAAAATCCAAAACTGCCTTCCACTGTCACCACGGGCCACGACCAGTTTGAAATTCCAACATGGGCGGCCCTTGCAAATGATGCAACCTTGGCACTCCCGTCAAAACTCGTCCGCCTTTGGTACGGCATACAGCCGGAACAAACTTCGTCCTATTGTAACGCCGTTTTCCGATTTGACAGCGATGCGTATGATAGATGGAGAGGCCCAGATCCATTCTGAAGGGATATCTAAAAAACGATTTTATGGTGAACCTTCAATGGTAGGAACAACCTGAGGTTTCAAGTTCAATTTCAGACCCGATCTACTTCCAAACTTATACTAGTTTTCCAGAGGATAAAGATCCGAGAGATTAGAGAACAACGTAATCGTTGCATTGCATTGCATTGCGAAGGGTCTGACTAATTTTGAGGTCCTAACCGTTGGTTGAACAACAAAGATTAATATTCTGCCGAGTTATTGTCACAACAACAGAGTTCCGCTAACTACTTCCTACTCAGATGATCCTAGGGTGTTGAGTAATGTGACCGCGTTCCACAATCATAATTTCCTGATAGAGGACGATTTCTGACCGAGAACAGCCATGTAATTTCCCCTGTGCACCCAGTCTTAAAGGCACCGTTCACGATAAAAAAGTTATTGAGTTCTTACCTTATTAATATTCAGCGGCCCCATGGGTTGTAGAAGGGACCCTCTCAATCCCCCAATCTCGACATCCAGAGGATAGTGGCAGCCCCGTTGTTGCCGTAGTTCGCGTTCCCGCCCCTCGATCATTGTCACGTTAGACGAGTGTCGAGACAATACAGATTGCTATTATTCGTTCTAGGACCCACGCACAATCAGCTAATCGCCGAGTTGAGGCATGTTTTTCTCCCATTCTTTTTTCCTCTGTTTTTCTTTGTGCTGCCGCGAACCCTTATTTAATTTCCTAGTCCTAGAGGCTGAAAAACGTGAGCTACTTTTGCTGTTACTAGGATTTTTTGTTTATTTATGCTTATGAGTGAATGAATTTTTGCTACCATGTCTGTTATTCGTACCAGGACCCACACGCGCGTAGTGAAACACACTGTTTAGCTCGTCCGGACACCCCACTCTTCTTCATTTTTCTGCTTTCATTCTCGTCTAGCCCCCTTTTTAACGTTTCTCGAAGCCTTTTTTCACTTTGGAAACACCGATGCACGCAGTTTCTTCACCTCAGTCGCGCTAGTTTCGATCCTGTCTGCCATTTTTCATCATGATATGAATTACCCAAAATTATCGTGAACGGTGCCTTTAAGATTAGGGATGAACTCTTGCGTCGGTAGATCCTTCACCAAGTAATTTTATGTGCAGCATTTCCTTCTTACTCTTCACTTTATTTTCTTACCATCAGTGAATTGCTCAATTCTTGCGGCAAACAAATTTGCTTTATTCAGATCATCACGGGACTGGAATGGAGGTGCTATCTATCTAACATCAAAAGTCTCATTGATATGACTCTATACGAATGCTCGAAGATTGTCAAGACGTAATTGTGATGTTAATAAAGCATTTCGTGGCATTCATCCAGTGAGTCGTAGAACAATAGCAGTGTAGCTGTCATCTTGCATAGTGAGCGTAAATGGAGCAACAGGTTTAGATCCATTCCTCGTGAAAATCGTCTTCGTTAAAGGCACAGTCTACGATAGAAATGTTTTCTGAGATTTTCCCCCTGAATGAACCTGTGACCCCCAAGAATAGCGCTTTCGGACTTATAAACAGTCTAGGTAGATAGGGCATAATAGGGGCCCCGCTTTGTAAACGTACACACCTAAGGCCGACAAGTTCTCATGGCGTTGTAACAGCTGAGAGGTTGCTCCATTCGCACTGAGACGCACACGCGCGCGTGGGCACACATTTTGACAGCACCCTTCCACGCAACTTTTGTGGCCACGCTCTCGTCCAACTCCTAACTTAACTACTTTTTTGGAGTTCTGTATTTCAGGATAGTCCATGTTCGACTTTCTTTCAATCTTGGCATAATTGTTACATTTAAGTCCGAATATTTTGTCTTTCAAGCCTTCTAAGATTGTTTAACTTTATTGAAAGAAATTGAGTTGAATTTGAGGCTTGAATAACAAAGTATTCGGGCCCTGTATTTCTTTTGGTACGCTTATTTTCTAGGTCTTGGGGCGTTAATCAGTTCCGTCAGAGGGATGCGCTTATGCATTCGACTTCCATCCAAAAACGTAGTGGCGTATTGAATGCGTATGTGGCCTACACAATGACTTGCGGTGGCCAGTCGCTGCACAAGTCAGTGCTTTTATCCTCCTAGTCGAGTCTGGTACCAATCAGCGGACTACGGAGGGATGGAAGGCTTGGTTAGCCTAGGCAAATGCTAATCAGGGATTCGAACCCGTGATCATGCGTGTGTGATAGTGCGCCACTTGCCACTACACCATCACTACCATTGATCGTCTCAAACTAACTACAACAAAAATACCGTAACCTGCCCCCTTAAGTGAGGTGGGTGTTGTTCCTTTAAGTGAGGTGGATGACTGAATTATAATGCTTTCATCTAATGCGGTATGTTTCTCGTGCTTCCATGTTTTTCCATTCCACCCTACAGAATTCCCCAGCTATGGGCAATGCATCCAACGCCTATTATACGGAATGAATTAAGTGAGTCACAGATACCATAACGAAACGGATATCGAACGGTCCAGCAGAGTCCATCCTCCCTAAAGCGATGAACCATCCATATTTCTATCCTTCTCCTTCTATCGTGTCCATTAATCACCGATTTTGCGTTGAAACCAAGAAGAGGATACTACGTATAAGTCCTGCTTAAAGTAGATGACCAGTTTAAGCCGTTAAACATGGTGCCTCTGACAAGCATCTTTTCCCAGAGATTCTAACCGCATTTTGTGTTTCCCTGAACAAGAGACTGAACTAAAACGAGCAGAATGGACCTTGCGGATTTCTTTTTGCTAGCAACGATGACCTCAAGATTTGCGCAAGCTTTGACCAAGTACAGTTCACTGGTCGATTCCGTGAATTGTTCTTCTTCCCTGCAGTGAATTCACACATTTTGATGTTCAGTAAACGGTAGTGGCAATTTTTTTGAGTTTTTGGTAGAGCAGAGGGATTGTACCTTATCGAATAAACTAGGCGCTATTAAAGCAGTAGCGACCCTCGAAAAACCTCTGCCTGGTTTCCATTGCAGTGCCGAAGTGCTCAAAAACGCCAATCATCACCGCGGGATTTACGAGGAATTGGTCCGAGGAGTAGTAATCATTGCCTAAGAGTTCACTGTGCTCTGCTGTGTGCTATTTATTACCTAGTAGGCTGGACCCCCTTACCTGAGACTTCTCTCTCACTGAAGGAATAGGGCCAGTTCGTGATGAGGCAACATGGTGCGATTATATGTGACGGAGTAGCTGGATTCTGAGGGTAGACTATCTGTTTTTGTGGCGCTGGGTCGAGTACCTTCTGTATTTCGCAGATGTATCCATGCGTACATGTAACATGTGTGGAGAGTATGAAGATGCGATCGGAATCCTGCATATCGGTAAGCCAAACATTTGCATTCGAGTGACTGGAACGAATCGAAACGATTCGGGAGCGCGTCCAAAATCAAAGCCCCTCGTCCACTCTGGGAAAGCCTGGCTAGCTAACCAGAGTCAGCGTATCCTCCATATCAGAGCCTGACAAGCTGATCCTGGTTTCCCATGCCAAAGGAGTGATCCAAATAGGCCTCAATCTCTCAAACCTGAAGGACTTCCCAATACGGCAGCGTTGGGTAAGACTGCTCGGGTGAGGCTGCTCAAATGTCCCAGTCAAAACAAGCCGCTCAAAGAAGGATTGAGATGAAGATATGTACCTTCAACGTTCAATGCAGAACGTTTGCATAGGGAGTGTGTATTGAGGATCTGATGCTAGAAGCTAGCAAGTTCGAGTTCGACTTCAACGGACAACCGAGACGAGAAAGGATCACCCGCTGCAGGGCGTTTTCGAAACTGGAAAATAAGCACTTCTTGGAACATGCGACAACAGAGGAGTCGGCGGCGTAAGTGTCCTCGTAGTTACGGACGCTTCGCTCCATACCGATTTCCTGGGAAAATTCCGTTATTAACAACAATGAAGAATACAACCGGCTCGTCGAATATCTTTTCGTTACAAGACCAAGATGTCCTCCCTTCGTCATACAGACGGAGGAGCAGCGACCGTATCACAGTATCAGACCAGAACATCTAAAGAGCTTCTACAAATACCGTCAGAACTCTGCCTAAACTCTTCACGCAGTATCTTTCAGAAGGCAGATTGCCTACGTACTAGGAGACTAATGTGCTGCTGTGTGAGAAGAGGGATCCTAAAATATTGCAGCTATCACCCAATGCATGTTTTATGTCTGTAAACCAAAAGCTTTTTACACGCGTCATCCTTAACAGGGTCGCAGAATATAAGGAGAATGACACCCATGCGAGCGAGCAGTCGATTACATCCTCGATGATAAGAAACTAAGTAGATATCGCGAGATTAGAGGAAGCCGTCAGGGTATTCCTACTCAATGTATATATAAGATGCTTCGCTCGAACTATCCAATGCTGCTATTCGAAATGAGAAGACTTGCGAATGATGGCCTCGCTACACGGCTGCCAGGGAGATGGTCAGATTTCTTCACGAAAGCTCTGGGCAAACGTAGTGCTACGAATCGTGTCTTTCGAGCGAGACACTTGGACAACTATGGGGACGATAGACGTTACTGGCTCTTGTTGGAGAAACTCGATGAGAGGTGAGGTAATGCTGGGGAACTCAAGAGAAGAAACTTTTATACCCAAATCCAAGTATGTGACTCTCCCTGAATCCTTCAATACTAAAGACCCACCCAGATTTTTTCTGTAAAAATAATTTCCACTTTCTCGATCTGTGGCACATATTGTTAAGAACCCAAACGCACTATGCTAATTCCAACAATACTCAGAAAAGGAAATTTTAACTCTTTCTTGTTGAAGTCGTGGATGACAGATTTGTTTTGTCCTTCCATCCATCTCTAAGCTCCCTTTCAGCTATAAACTCAATCGCTGTCGCGCTGCACTGGATTCGTTAGTATATTCTTGTTGTAGTGTTATTTTTCTTACGGTTTAGTCAGAATCATAGAAAAATTCCCGTTTTGTATGAAGGAGCCTGGACGATTGACCAGTTAATTTCAAATCAGGTGATCCGATTGCTAGCTCCGGCATATCTACAGGAAAATGATTGAAAATGCCACAGACCACCCTCACTGAGAATGAAATGAGAGGATGAGTGTTACCATGCCACCCGTACATTTAGGGAATGCTTCAGAATGTGGAAGAGCTAGGTAAGAGGCGCTGAACTAGAATTTCCCTTTCCCAGACCACCCATTGTACCCTCTACCTTCCTTGC